GGGTGGAAATGGGGAGGTGGTGAGCCAGGGTCAGACTCTGGATGTGTTTTGAACGTCACCTTGAGAGGATTTACTGTTGGCTTTGCTGTGGGGGTGTGTTTTTGAGACAGAGAAAGGAGTCAAGAACGCATCTTAAAGTCTTATTGGCTGAGCGAATTAGAAGAATGGAACTGCCATGTACAGAGACAGAGAAGCAGGATGTTGGGGCTGGGTGTGGGGTGGAACTGAGAGGCAGTTTTGCTTGTGTCAAATCGGTGATGCTTATAAGACATGCGTATGAAGTCCAACAGGCAACGCAGATCAAACCGAGGAGGACAAGAATCAATACCTGGAAGGGAACTAAACATAGGTGTCATTCATGCTATGGTTTTTAAGAATTCACAGCCCTGATGCTAAGGTCTCACTGGTCTCATCTAACCCTTTGCTATTCCAAAACTGACTCCTTGGTCAGCAGACAAAATGGCCTGGTAGCTTGTTAGAAATGCTGAACTGTCTTGGCCGGCGCCGCAGCTCACCAGGCTAATCCTCCACTTTGCGGTGCCGGCACACCGGGTTCTAGTCCCGGTTGGGGCGCCGGATTCTGTCCCGGTTGCTCCTCTTCCAGGCCAGCTCTCTGCTGTGGCCCGGGAGTGCAGTGGAGGATGGCCCAAGTCCTTGGGCCCTGCACCCCGTGGGAGACCAGGATAAGTACCTGGCTCCTGCCAATGGATCAGCACGGTGCGCCGGAGGGTGAACCAACGGCAAAGGAAAACCTTTCTCTCTGTCTCTCTCTCTCTCACTGTCTAACTCTGCCTGTCAAAAAAAAAAAAAAAATGCTGAACTGTCTGGCCTTCTTCATAGTTGAGTCAAAAATACACATTTTAACACGCTCCCCAATTAAAATCATTCGAGAAACTCTAAAGCTACAATTCTCACCCAAGAACAATTAAACTGGGATTCCTGGGAGTAGGCCCAGAAATGGGTATTTCTAACAAGTCCCCCTAAGAGGCTCTGATGTGCAGCCCCACTGAGAACCACTGATTTAACTCTATTTGCTACGGGCACACTCCCTCTTGCCCCTCAGCACACACTGGAAGTTCTTTTGAAGACCATTTCTAAAGACATGCGCAGTTCTGTGACAGAATGAAGGTGTGCACCTAACGAAATCCCATCTCCTCGTTTACTGGGGATAACTTCAACGTAATAGTGCCTGTCTTCATTCTCTGAAGTATCCTGCTTTACATAACTAATAATACAAGTGTACTTCACAAAGTTCAAGGAAAATGGAATTAAAAGATAAGCTTATTTTGAAATCCATGCACTTTTTTTCAAAGTGTGTATTTTCATAAACTTTGATGTTCTCTGAAAATAAAATGGCTCTGTACTATCAATTTCTGAATTGTAAAATCATGAAGAGGACAAGTAGATCAAAGAGACAAATGGACTTTGGTTACAAATGAATCAAATATACAGGGGCTCGTGTTTAGATGTTGTCCTTAATGTCTTCTAGGTAGAGCTTATGAGATATGCAACACTTCTTCAGCTGTATGGAAGGCTCCTCCCTAGGTCTGGAGAGGAATGGGGGTGGTCACACTTCCCACTGAAAGCACTGAAGCCAAAGGCTGGTCAGTCAAGGCAGATTATCTGTCTGTGATTACCTTGCCCTGAACAAAAACTTCGCCTTCCTTTTCCTCTGGATTCTTCTACTGTTGATTAGCTACTCCACCCATGGGCTCCAAGGGACAAAAGAGGAAGGCCAATGAAAAGTTAGCTTAGCAGTCCTGCTGATAAACCGGGCGGGAAAGAAGATGGAAACAATTGTACTATTTCGGGTTACCTGTGAATTTAAACTCTTTTGGCTCATTCCTGCTTCCAGATTATTACCAGCTGGTTTGAAGGTTCACCGAAATCCTACAGATTGCCAGCAAAATTAAAGCAATCTTGTATCTTTAAAATGATGTACTCTTCCAGCAACAGGCCTTCGGACACTTTCCTTCCTGACTGACCAAGGACAAACCCCTTCTTATCCTCTCAAGGCCCTCCCCCGTCCTTCCTCCCCTACCACCAATTCACAGATAAATATGGATGCAAGTTTAAAAAAAATACTTTTGATGTCGGTAAGAAATAGCACAACTGATGTTGGAAAAGTCAGGGAGATAGATTAAATTCATGAGCGGGAGGCTACACCTACCCCCACCCCCATGTAATCCTCTCCTGTATCAGATGACCCTTCCCTAAGATGCACCTCCCCTTACCTGGGATCTGGGGGCAGTGCTACGTAACCACTCCCTTTTTCAAAGCTAATAAAAAGCCTGGGGAAAGGGAGGAGGCTCCCTTTTTCTCTCTCTACCTTGTAGACCCAGGATGAGCAGAACAGGGTATGAAATTCCCTTTTTTATCTTTCCTGGCCCACTCTCCCTAAATGAGGCTCACATGTGCCTGTGTATTCTTCTCACTTTCTAAATAAACCTTATGATGCTGCATGTTGTGTTTGTGCCTGTACTCAGAATTCTTCTCTAAGTAAAAGGCAAGAGCCCGGGATATTAATTTTGGCCCAACCTAGCCCACAACACAATCACTTATACAAAAGGACCAAAGCGGAAAATCTATGTATAGGAGCAGAGATTCATGTGCATGTAAATTGTAACACAAGTCTTCCTAGGTGCATCACAATGGTAGTCAGGAATACTTCCACAAAACACTCAGTGTAAATGTTTAAAACCTGCTCTCTTCATTTGTGTTTAAAATTTCTGGAAAATACTGATCTATGTCCAGAGTAAAATGGCAAGACACTGATCAGACAGTTAGAGGGAACTCTGTCCTCTTGCAAAATCCCTTGAATGTAGATAGCTATTGGTGGGTGAATCAATAAAAACTACCTGTTGAGTCAGAACTGACTCTCTCTCCATGGGATCTCTGCACATTAGACACTATGGGTGTCTGCGCGTGTGTGTTGCAGGGCGTGGGAAGGGTGGGATGTTCATTTGTTCCTGGGCTGTACATAAGAACAAACTGAAAAGGTGGAAAGGTTCTATCTGAAGCTGAGAAAGCCACATGCTGGTCTTCACCTGCCAGGCCCTGCATCAGTAATAACACCAGCAGCTTGAACACTATCTTTGAGCTATCTTTGATCACTGCTAACAGCTAACCAAAGGCTTCTCCTTCTGGAGCTCACCAAAGGCAGAGGCGGGTGGTCGTGGAGAGCAACGCTCTACGGAGCCCCCGCATGCTCCCAGGTAAAGGCCTCAGCAGATCTGAGCAGTAAGCACGACAGGTAGGCCTGCCGAGAGGATCTTCTCTTTCCGTAGGGGTTCAGATTTCTTTTAAAATCTTAGTGTGTTATGCCGCGACCTGAATGTGTTACACAGTAGGGTTTAAATTGGTGAGTCAATGATGTACAGTATTTCAATAAGGAGTTCTATTGTAATACAGAAGTTTTAGCTCAGTCATGTGCTGTGACGCTCACTTAGAAGGGTCAGAGCAAACTCTTGCTTACCATTGACAAAGGAGAGAGTATCAGCTATTAGTGATTGAGACAGCAGTATCAATGAGAGACCCCAACCATTCAAACTGGCAAACTCTTTAAACCAACAAGTGTTGCTCATGCTTTCTGTACCCACACAACCTTATAAAAGCAGTCCTATGGGGGATTCTGGCTTCGAAGGAAGCTTTGCAAAAAAAGGAGCACTTTGCCTATGTGGACCACCTCAGAGAGAGGCCCAAACATGTACAGGGTCGCTTCCACACACACATGTCTAATGACCTGGACAGCGTCCAGGGTGGAAGGTAAATAAAAATAAGCAAATATCACAACCACTCACCCTGTGCAAATAGGGAAAAGAATGTGAAGAAAAAACAGCCTGGAGTCAGAGTGAGTCAGAGCTGGGGAAGCCAGGAACATCATTCCTCACTCCGGACGCAGCTCTGGACTTAACTTTACTTACCCTTCCCAACAGGAGACGTTCAGGAGTTTTATTCAGAAAGAGGGTAAGCCTCCAATTCTTGCACGGCTTGGTACTATTCTGGGTGAAATGTACTCACTAATGAATGCTTTTGGCAGAGCACAGCCCATCCCCTGCATGGAAAGCCTGTGCTCCTGAGAAGGGGCCAGGGCTGGATGCTGGCCTCCTGCTTCGCCCACTCGTGCTGCTGGTGACCCTGAGAATGGCCCTCAGGCCTCTACTTCCATATCAAGGATTGTACCTGAACTAGATCTTGTTACAGAGTCAGGTGTAAGAATTTTTGGTGCAATGTTTACCAAACTCTGAGATGCTCCAAAAAAGATACTATGAGAAAAAAAATCCACTAAACTACTGCCAAAGAAAGAAAACCTTTTGTGGTATCTTAAACTGTCCAGGGCAAATTAGAGCTGGAAATCCTAAAATGAAAAGCTACGTTTCTATTTCTCTACTTTTCCACAGAAGTAGTGCTATGAATGTTTCAGTTCAAGGAACCATCCATGAGGACCCCAGAGAACAAGTCCATACTGAGTGAAGACCCGGGAGCTGGCAGCGGCCAGCATTAGAGGGGCTGTCTCTGGCACTAGTTAACATTGGGTGGGTGAAGAGGCTGCTGTGGCAACCTTGAGAGGAAGCCCAGAGTTACATCCATTTTGGTACCTCAAAGTCATGCTCCAACCTAGGATTTTCCAATCTCCTGGTCATTCATAATTTATACGCAAGTAGTCAACGCTCTGAAGAGTATGAGTCTAACTTAAACTTTCCTTAACTTGTCTATATAAGATGTCTTGTCTTAGTATCACCTCAAGTGAACTGCAAAGTCATTTTGTTAGGGAAGTGCTGGTGAGAACTCAGATGTGAGACAGTAGTTTTTCTGTTTCAAACACTGTAATGAATGAGTGAAACTTACTTAGAGTCACGCTAAGCTTGCCTTTCAGCTGAAGCAATCAATACACCTCCTCAGAAAGTAAAATCACTCCCACTAACGGCCCACGGGAGCTCTGTAAATTTGCCAGCAGCAATGAAACACACAGTGTTGACAGCACAGCTCTGCTTTTGTACCTGTGGCTCCTGGTCATGACCGCTGGGATCCCTCTCGTAACTCTCTGCGTACAGTCTGATGGTGGCCCGCACACCACTGGAGGAACTGAGCCGAAAGACGAGCCGTGATGCGTCCGAGAAAATGATCCTCAGGCCCTGAGACCAAGAACACCAGGATGGGTCAGTGAACATCTAAGTGCACAGGTAATAATAATTAACACCTGCTAAAAAAAAAATTAACACCTGCTAAAAAAAAAGTGCTCTAAAACCACTCAGGGTGATGGCAACTTAAAATTGGCTCTGGACACTCACTGAGGTAGGACAGTATGGTCAACCTAAAAGCTATTTCAGATGATCCATTTGTCTCTGCATTCTTTTTTTTCACTATTGCTTTGTGGTTAATGTTAGGGGAGGATTCGGAGCAAAACTATGAACAGATGCTTGAGTTCCTGTGGTCTGGTGAACTGGGAATCAGAAAGGAGTGTAGGTAACAAGGACAGGATGATGTTTAATAAATGTTCCTGGAGCCAAAGTTTGCGTCTTATAAATCTAATCAATGCAATGGGAGCAGACAATTTATCTATGACAGTAAGACAAATGACGCCCACCTGGCTTGTAATATTTGCTTTAAATTTGTCTTTGTTTCTTTCTTCATTCCCACATCCTCGGGTACCAACAGCTCCCTACCTCAAAGTGCTCAGGGTGGGGCCTCTGCTGGGTTCTGAGGTTGCTAGGTACATCTTCATCCCCTTGGCCCTCTCCTTCTGGCTGGGAAGTTCCGGCCACCAGGGTGGAGTGGAGGCAGAGCTATGGCTGCACAGACCAGTCCTGCCCACAATTAACTCTATACTGGCAAAGAACACTCCACTCTTTCTTTTCATTAGTGGCAGGGATATTTTAAAATTATGACCATAAGATAATATTGTGACTTCTGCTGAAGGAAACTTGTTCTTTGAAGACAAGTGATAGAGTACTTGCTGTCAGTAAGCATGTTGGCAGAGACTAGGAAAAATGTCTAATGATTTAGTACTGCTGAAAAAGCAGATGCCTCAGGGGACACTGGCATCAGACATCTTCCCTACACAATTCATCCTTGAAACTTCTCTGGCCTCACATAGTGCATGTGAAGAATAAGCCCTTATTAAAAACCTGGTATACTTGGTACATGCATTTGTTTGCCAGTTCCTTGCCCCATCCCCACCTGGTGGCACCTGTTGAGGGGTACTATCTTTCCATCTGAATGGTTTTCTGCTTTTCAAATTTTTACATATTTTTTCCAGTCTGCATATAAGATAAGCTTTATTTTAGAATGTATCAAGGAAAAATGAAAGGGTACCATTTCTCTTCCCAACAACCAGTAATTCTATAGGTTTCACAAATAGAATGATATTATCTAGGATATACCCACTGGACAAACATCTTCGAGTGTTTAGGTACTCAGGGGTTAGCTACTGGATTCATTAAGATGAACATGTGAATAAAGACTCAGAATTTGCCCTCCTAAGCCTAGAATAGCTTATTACAATGAAGAGAAGCCATTTTCTTAACCATTCAATGGTGCTGGACAGATGACTAGTTAGGAAATTACAAATGGCACAGATGAACCTATCACCTGCTATCCAGAAAGCACTCTAAACCAAATTATGTTCACACCTGTAATAGTCCCTAAAGTTCCACAGGTGTGATCACAGCTATGTTTTTATAAACTCTGTCAAAGCTGTTATGTTTAAGCTTACATTCTGGTTGTTGCTATACATGGGCAAGTGAGTATGTAATTATTTGCTCAGGAGTATGGCTTATCTATAAATTGGTTAGAGTGAAATCTTTTTTTTTTTTTTAAAAAAAGATTTATTTATTTACTTGCAAGTCAGAGTTATAGAGAGAGAGGATAGGCGGGGTGGGTGTCTTCTATCCGATGGTTCACCCCCTCAATTGGCTGCAATGGCTGGAGCTGCGCCAATCTGAAGCCAGGAGCCAGGAGCTTCCTCTAGGTCTCCCAAGCAGGTACAGGGGCCCAAGGCTTTGGGCCATCTTCCACTGCTTTCCCAGGCCATAGCAGAGGGCTGGATCAGAAGTGGAGCAGCGGGGTCTCAAACTAGCACCCATATGGGATGCCGGTGCTTCAGGTCAGGGAGTTAACCCACTGTGCCACAGTGCCGGCCCCTGAGTGAAATCTTATAGCTGAGGCCTAACCCACCTGTTGATTCAGATTCCAAACTACTTGAAACCACCTCTTCTGATAACATCCCAAATCAACTCTTTATTAAAACATTTTTAAAATTTATTTGAAAGTCAGAGAGAGACAGAGAGATCTTGTATCTGGTGGTTCACTCCCCAAATGCCTATAACAGCCAGGGCTGGGCCAGGCCAAAGCCAGGAGCCAGGAACTGTATCCAGGTCCCCACATGGTTGGCAGGCACCCAACTACGTGAGCTATCACAGCTACTTCCCAGGATGCACGTTAGCAGGAAGCTGGAATTGGGTATGGAGCCCTGCAGGATCAAGCGGCATCTCAAATGCTGCACCGAAAGTCCACTCCAGCTCACCTCTTTAAAGCAGCTCCCACTATGCAGCTCCGGACAGGCTTCCTGCCTGTCTGGAGGTACTTAAGAATTCAGGTCACAGTAAGTCATCAACACACAATATGTGCTCCTAACTAAGCTTTTTACAACGAAATCATGTTATTTTTTCCTGATATTAGCTGTAGTATCTTTGTACTATATGTTATACTCACAGAATACTGTTTAGAACCTGTATCTGACAGCCTGGAATTGATCTTTTGCAAGAAAAAAATGGTAAAGAAATACACAGTCCACGGAAGCCTACTGGAAACAGCCCACAACATTCCTCTCTCCTAGGAAACCAACCATGAGCTCTCAACTGAGAACCATGTTGCCTGGCAGGATTGTTTCCAGTGAGGAACACCACAATTCTCTCTCTCCACATGGAACACAGGGAGTTTTAAATCCAGCCCGCTTCTGTGCTCCAAAGATTCCAGCCCCATGTCTGCTGAGTGCTGCTTTGATGTGCGAACTGTTGTACTGGGTTGCCTTGAGATCTGAGTTCCTGAATGAACTTAATGAATTTGCAGCCCTAATATGAGCTGTGTTCTTTCCAGCATTTATCATCACTATCATCAATTTCAACTTGAGGTCAAAGTTACCACTGACCAAGATTTGCCCAGTTTCTGATTGTTCCCCAATTTCCACAAAAGAATATTGACAGTATAGTTTGCTTTTATTTTGTAGGCAATACCAGGGGTTGGCAATTTCCAGGAAGTAGGTAAAACTGACTTGTTACCTGTTCTCATAAATCACGTTTCAGTGGGGCACAGCCACGCCCACTCACATTTGTATTACCTGTGGCTGCTTCTGCTCTACAGTGTTAGGAATAGTTGTGACTGAGACTGTGTAGCCCATCAGACCTAAAATATTTTGTATCTAGTCCTTTATAGAAAATGCTCACTGAGCCCTTGCTGTGAACCATTGTGTTATCCACAGCACAGAACATTTACTCTTCAGTCCTGTATCAGAAAACAGAAAATACAACCATATGCCCAATGAAAATCCCAGTAGACGCAAATTATGTTTATGAAGTCTATTGTAGCAGTATCCAGGTTCTTCATTTCCCGGGTGTTCCTGCTTCTAGCCATAGATTCATTTGGACTTTGGCCCAATTCAATGTATTTCTGACAATTTAAGTCCTGACAGAAATGGTTTTATTAAGTTGCATTTTCATTTTTTATTTTACCTTTTATTTCATCATGCTATAAGGCACTTTCTTACAAAATCATTTTGGTAGTCAGTACAGAAACATTGTTAGAGACTGTATGAAGCACCACAGGAGACTCTTCTGAACAGCCAAGCGTGAGAAGCCTTTCCCTCCCTGAGGAGCTAGTATCCTTTTCCTTTCTGACAATAAGACCTTTGTAACAAACCACATTTCCTTTTTCAATATGGCTGCCAGGATGCTTAATGCCAAGTTTAAGGTTCAACCCAAGTGTAGCCTTATGACTTGCCTAACTATGAACCTCTTCCATTCACAACCCTACTGTTATTTATATATTCCCTATCCTTAGTTTCTGTTTCTTATTTATATTCTAACTTCATTATGTGCTACAAATTCTCTTACAGAAACAAGGCCCAGTACAAATAAAACTAGTTCCTGAGACAGCCTTAACCCTACAAGGCCAGAACTGCCCAGTTTTATCTTTGGGTCCTTCCTTAACTGACAAGCTCTGAGAGCGTAGAGCCTTATGCATTTTGTTCACCACCATGTCCTCCACAGGACAATGCCTGGCACACAGAAGATCCTTCATAAACACTGGGGGAAGGAATATCATTGCAGATTCAACGTGTGCAGTAGAGTGCTGAGGTCTCCACTGAGGCAGTCTCACAAGGCCTCCCTCCCTCTGCCAGGCCAAATGAAACACATGCACATTCCTCATGATGGGTGGGGCTGATGTGTCCTTGATGGGAAGCTGTGGAAGATAACAGTCAGTAACTCTGACTTTCAAATAAATAAATAAATCTTCAAAGAAACATTCTACAGGGTCACTTGAGCACTGAGCTTTAAAAAGCTTCCCAGGTGATCCCACGGTACAAATGCAAGAACCACTGCAGTAGCCTCTTTTCTCTGGTTTATCTGACTTATCTATCCAAGTGACTGGACTATGGTACGTGCCAGTTATGAGAAGGGTCTCTAGGATCTGTGGTTTCATGTTCACACCCCTATCAGATGGCGGTCACAGGAGGCCACAACACAGCAGGACTCATAAAACAACACCTTGCTATGTAGTCAGTCCTCAGAGTTTCCTCCTGCTGCTATGTCAGTAGCAGAACCATTACAAGTACCCCCTCCTGAGGCCTCTGCTGCTATTTTTAGTACAATATTTTAAGGAATTCCCAGTGCTTCCCTGAAGTAATCCTTGGTCTCTCCACAGCCACAGTAACTACCATAGCTGGACTGTCCAGGATGGCAGAACAGCCATGAGTTTATAAAGGGAGTAAAGACACCCTCCTCTGTCAGAAGACAGTATCAATTATGGAGGAACGACAGGGCATCTTCAGGTACATCTTGAATTTTCTTTCCTTTGAAGTGCCCATGGCATGTGCCTCAAAGGTGAGAGTGAGGTATTGCTCACCATAGCTTTGTAC